CTATCCCTCCCCCCCCCCACAAAAAAACCTTAATTATGGGGGGAGGGATAGCTCAGTGGTTTGAGCATTGACCCCCTAAACCCAGGGTTGTGAGTTCAATCCTTGAGGGGGCCACTTAAGGATCTGGGGCAAAATCAGTACTTGGTCCTGCTAGTGAAGGCAGGGGGCTAGACCCGATGACCTTCCAGGGTCCCTTCCGATTCTAGGAGATCGGATATCTCCATATATTATTATATTATTATTATACCTCACTATCACTACTGCTATGTTGTGTGGTTGGTGAAGAATTCTACACCAGAGAAGTGTAAAATTACTCCAAGTAAGGTCAAAGATTTGACAAGAACTCAAGTAGAAATTGCAGGTACTGGTGGTTGATTTTCATCCCTGATTTGGAAGCTATGGTGACCTGTGGCCCAGGTAAACTATTTTTAGAACACTGCTCTCTAGTTAAGTGGCATTGATCACACTCCTAAAGGATGCCATGATTAAATTGGGAACAACTGTCTTTTACCATTTGGATCCAAAGTTTCATGAAGCACAGAGAATCATAGAAGATTAGGGTTGGAAGAGACCTCAGGAGGTCAAGTCCAACCCCCCTGCTCAAAGCAGGACCAACACCAACTAAATCATCCCAGCCAAGGCTTTGTCAAGCTGGGCCTTAGAGGTTTTTAAGGATGGAGATTCCACCATCTTCCTAGGGAACCCATTCCAGTGCATCACCACCCTCCTAGTGAAAAAGCTTTTCCTAATATCCAACCTAGACCTCCACCCCTGCAACTTGAGACCATTGCCCATTGTTCTGTCATCTGCCACCACTGAGAACAGCTGAGCTCCAACCTCTCTGAACCACCCTTCAGGCAGTTGAGGGCTGCTATCAAATCCCCCCACACTCTTCTCTTCTGCAGACTAAACAAGCCCAGTTCCTTCAGCCTCTCCTCATCAGTCATGTGCCAGCCCCCTAATTATTTTTGTTGCCCTCCTTTCTCTAATGGGGGGCCCAAAACTGGACGCAATATTCCAGATGTGGCTTCACTAGTGCCGAATAGAGGGGAATAATAACTTCCCTCGATCTGCTAGCAATGCTCCTACTAATGCAGCCCAATATGCTCTTAGCCTTCTTAGGAACAAGGGCACACTGCTGACTCATATCCAGCTTCTCATCCACTATAATCCCCAGGTCCTTTTCTGAAGAACTGCTGCTTAGCCAGTCAGTCCCCATCCTGTAGCGGTGCATGGGATTCTTTCCTCCTAAGTGCAGGACTCTGCATTTGTCCTTGTTGAACCTCATCAGATTTCTTTTGGCCCAATCCACTAATTTGCCTAGGTCACTCTGGACCCTATGCCTACTCTCCTGCGTATCTGCCTCTCACCCCAGCTTAGTGTCATCTGCAAACTTGCTGAGGGTGCAATCCATCCCATCATCCAGATCATTAATAAATATGTTGAACAAAACCGGCCCCAGGACTGACCCCTGGGGCACTCCGCTTAATACTGGCTGCCAACTAGACATTGAGCCATTAATCACTACCCGGTAAGCCTGGCCATCTAGCCAGCTTTCAATCCACCTTATAGTCCATTCATCCAATCTGTACTTTTTTAACTTACTGACAAGAATACCGTGGGAGACCATATCAGAAGCTTAGCTAAACTCAAGATATATCACATCCACTGTTTTCCCCATATCCCCAAAGTCAGTTATCTGATCATAGTAGGCAATGAGGTTGGTCAGGCATGACTTGCCCTTGGTGAATCCCTGTTGACTGTTCCTGATCACCTTCCTCTCCTCCAAGTGCTTCAAAATGGTTTCCTTGAAGACCTGCTCCATGATTTTTCCAGGGACTGAGGTGAGGCTGACCGGTCTGTAGTTCCCTGGGTTCTCCTTCTTCCCTTTTTTAAAGATGGGCATTATATTTGCCTTTTTCCAGTCATCCTGGATCTCCTCTGATTGCCATGAGTTTTCAAAGATAATGGCCAATGGCTCTGCAATCACATCAGCCAATTCCCTCAGCATCCTCAGATGCATTAGATCTGGACCCATGGACTTGTGCATGTCCAGCTTTTCTAAATAGTCCTTAACCTGTTCTTTCACCACTGAGGGCTGCTCACCTCCTCCCCATACAGTATTGCCCACGACAGCAGTGTGGGAGCTGACTTTATCTGTGAAGACCAAGGCAATGTTTTTTTGTTTTGTTTGTTTGTTTTGAGTACTTCAGCATTTTCCACATCATCTGTCTCTAGGTTGCCTCCCCCATAGAATTCCCCATAGAAACAAAGAATGGAACAAAAGAATAATAAAGGCACCTCAACTTTCCCTCATTTATGTAGGACAGTCTTATAATATGCATCCAGATATCCTCCAATCACACAAGCTGAAAATTGTTCCACTTCACTGCAGTTCTGTAACCATATGGGAACCAATCCTGTCTGTGTTCTGTGAACATCCAAAATTCCTGCTGAATGACCCGCCCTGGGAGCGAGTTACCAGTGACCCAGGGCTGGGGCGGAAGGAGGGTGTAGTTGGCGGGGGGGAGAGCCCAGGGCTGGGGTGGGGGAAGCCAAAAAAATTTTTGCTTGGGGCAGCAAAAAACCTAGAGCCGGCCCTGCCTGCTGGGACAGCGGCTCCGAGCCTCCCCCGGGCGCAGATCCCGGCGCTGCGAGATGCCGGGTCCCCCCAGACACTGGGGCCGAGTCACTACCCCGCCCCCGGGGCTCACTGCGGTACCTGGAGGCTGCAGCTCCGCAGCGGGCCGGGCTGGGCCCGGGGGGGGGTTCATGGGTCTCCCCAGCACAGACCCGCCTGCTCAGCCCAGCCCTGCAGCGCCAGGGAGCAGCAGCGCGTGAGCGCAGCCTCTGCACGTGCGGGGCTCTTCTCCGCCCCCATCTGCGCATGCCCAGAGCCGGGAGACGCAAAACTCTTCTCTGGGCCCGGGAGAGGCTCCAACGGCCCCGCACGATTCAGGCAGAGCCGCAGCGCCCAGCACGCGCGTTCGCAGCCCAGCTCGTCCACCTACCCAACGTCACTTCCGCTCCCTGGGAGAGTTAGGAACTACAACTCCCAGCCTGCTCCGGGGGGCACGTCTGCCTTCTCCAGCCCAGGTCAGGCAGCTGTTACTGCGCATGCTCCGTGCGATCTCCAGTGGGGGTAGGAGAGCAAAGGTGCTACCCATTCCTACACCGGCGGGGGGAGGGGGCTTTCTCCAGCTGGGACCCGCCCCGGGGAGTGAGAGACCCCGGCCGGGGGGGGCGCTGGTGACTCTCTGCCCCGGGGAACCCGGGAGAAGCCGCGGAGCTGCCTCGGCCCCAGGGGAGCTGCAGCAGGATCTGCCCCCGGCACCGCCGGGATGGGGGGGGGCAGAGACTGGGGCCCGGCGGGGGGTCCCCTGTGGGGGGAGGGGGCAGAGTTGCGGGGGGGGGGTTGAACTGTCTCTGGGCAGCCAAGAAATCCCCGAGGGCTTGGGGGGGTTAAAATAAAATACCCTAAACATTCACCCCACTTTTTCTCTAGTTGTCTGTTTCTAATTGAATAGGCCCTGAGATCTTTCCCTGTCTCTCTAAGTATAAAATACTAAGAAAATCTCAGATTTACACCTTTTCTCGGACTCTTGAACATGGATATACAATGTTTGCAAATGTTGCTCATTTCCTCTCTTCATTTATCAAATATTGATGTGAAATACACTCAGATTTTACCTCATATCAACAACTGACATAAAACCCCTCTGATTTTCCACTTTCCTCTCTATAATCTGTAAAAATGGATCCAAAATCTCTCAGATTTCCACCCTTTCTCTTCCATTTCTGAACATTGACCTCAAATCTCAGGTTTTGCCTCTTTCTATGTCATTATCAAATGTCAATTAAAAATCCTGTTGGGTTCGGAGCTGTTCCCTATACTTCTAAATCCCAGCAA